AGTCCCTGACTGAGCATGCCACGAAGGCGAGGGATCGACGAGTGGCCAAGGCGGTGGTGCCACAGGACGGTGCGGTGGGCGAGAGAGCGACAGGAGCAAGACGCGGCGACTGGACTGGACACAGCGACCGGACCGGACACGACTACCTGGCTAGACACAGTAACTGGACTGGGGACCTGGGCCGGAGGGGACGCAAAGACCTGAGGGGAGGACGCGACCGGGGAGCGCTCGGTGTGGAGAACGTAGAGACCGGAGCGGGGCTCCCTGGTGAACGTGGCCAGAACAGCACCTGTGGTAGCGTCTGTACAGACTGCAGTCCGCCCACCCCCCACGAAGGTAACCGTGATCCCCCTGTCCTGGAGGTATCCAACACCCACCAAGTTCCGAGTGAACGAGGGGATGTGGAGGCCGCACAGGACACCAGAGGGGACCACAGGGCACGGGAGGGTGGTGGAGCTACGCGCAACGGCTGGTCCAGAGGTAGGATCAGCCAGAGCCACTGACACAGGAGTGAGGAGTGGCGTAAGGGTCGTGTGGTCGCGGAAGAAGCAATGAGACGCGCCCGAGTCCAGCGTGAACGACAGAGAGGCCTCAGCCGGAGGGTCACCTGACCCAGTCGCTACACAAGCACCTAGAGCAGCAACACAAGCACCTAAGCTAGACAGGCACAAGGCTACACTAGCAAGAGGCAAGCAGGCTAAACTACGAACACGCGAGCACACAGATCCATCAGCACTAAAGTCAGCATCAACATACAAAGCATGCTGACGCGCATCGTCCATGGACAGATCAAAGACATCAATCTTACGGGCTAACAGACGAGACCAGCGAGGCGTGACCGCCAGAGGGCCCCAACGAGCCCGGTAGAGGTCGTCGAGGCGGCGGAAGCACCGCGCGGCAGAGTGGTCGTCGCGACCACAGAGACAGGGGCTGCCCGGCCCGGTGAGGCACCAGTGGGTGTAGGGGCCAGCGTCACGGCGAGGGGGGCGAGGGGCCCAGCCGGAAGAGCTGCTGCTGCGGCCGGTGCTCCCAGGGCCTCCCGGACCCCACTGCGGCGGGGGACCCCAGTGCTGCTGCGGACCCCACTGCAGCGGGGGCCCCCACTGCTGGAACTGCTGCGGTGTCTGCTGCTGCTGCTGTCCCTGCTGCTGCTGCTGTCCCTGCTGTGGCAGGTGCTGCTGTGGCTGCTGATGCTGGGGGGCAACACCCCTACCGATCGGGCCACCACCTGTGGGTGGAACTGTCTGTCCTGCACCTCCTCCAAGGCCCCCTCCCCCTGGTGCACCACCGCCGCCGCCGCCGCCGCCGCCTCCGCCACCACCGCCGCTCCCACCTCCACCGCCCCCTCCAGCGCCGCCTCCTCCGCCCCCACCTCCCCCCTTCCCGCCCTTCTTGCCACTCTTGCCCCGTTTCTGCCAGTCTGCGGCAGAAACGGCAGCGGTGTCCTCAGAGATCGACACAGCAGCACAAGCGCGGGTAGTGGTGAAAGTGGGAAGCTGAGGGGCGGCACACCCCGCAAAGAGACGGGGGGCCACCGCATCAGTGGCGGAGGCAACGGTGAGGAGGCTGCTCTTGATGGTCCCGAGAGCAGTCTGAAGGAGGTCTATAGTGAGTTAAGTGGGGTGCTTGTGAAGAAGCGCGTCGCGGGCAGTGGCAAGGCGGTCAGGGAGGCGGGTGACTAACCAGTGCACAGTGAGCCACATGGGGGGGGGAGCAACAAGGAGCTATGCGTCGGAAACAGTCGCAAACGAGCCTAGGTCGGGAAACACGAACGGCATGAGGAGGCGACTGAGGGAGGCGGAGGAGGGGGTGGAATAGCGAGCCACAATAGCATCCCAAACCCCCTTGGCTGTCTCCACCTGGTCAAAGTGAGCGGCCTCAGTCGGGGGGAGAAGCTCCGATAGCGTGAGGGCGGCGGCCGCGTCACGAGAGAGCCACACGTCTCGAGTCAGGACCCGACGGTCGTAGTCCGCCTGGGCCGTAGGAGTCGGCTCCGGGGCGGTCGGCAGGGCGGCGGGGGACGGGGGTGCCGCGAGAGCGCCCGACGCGTGGGCCCACAGAGTGGCGCCATCCTGACGCTGGCTGGTGAGGAAACGTGTGGTCTGGCGCTGCCAGGTACCGAACTCGATCGGGCGTCCCTCCGCATCGAAACAAAGGCGACGGGCCTCCATAGCGGAGCCCATGCTAGAGGCGGCTGGAGCACGGCGGAGGCGGAGCTAAGGACGAGGAGGAAAACTACGGAGCGCCAGGAGAGAAAGCGGCGGAGCGAGAGACTAGGAGTACCGAGCGACCTAGACTAGGCGTGAAACTGTGGATCGCCAGCTACAGGTGCGAGGAGCGAGGTATGAGCGGCTAAAACGGCTCTAACCTAGGCGACCGGCGAGAGAGAGAGCGGCTGCCAGCCGCTGAGGGATAGACCAGTGTCAGCAGAGCTGGGGAGGGCCCCGCGCACAAGGCGGTGGTGGGGCTATGATGAACAGTGAGAGAGGGGCGGGGAGGCCGAATGCGACGGTGAGAATGGGCGGGAGGAGGATCTGACGGTGGGAAATGGGCGGGGAGGACAAATGCGACGGTGGGAACGAGCGGGAGGAGGGCGCGACGGTGAAGGGCGCGCGGGGACGCGCGGAGGTGCGCGGAGAGGCGCGTGGGTGGGCCGCGGGCGAGATCGCGGGCCGCACTAAGGGGCGCGACGGGCGCGAGCTACGGGAGGGGGGGTGCGCGGAGGTGCGCGTAGGCGGGGCGCGGGCTAGGGTGCGGGCGGCATTCCTAGGGCGCGGGGCCGACGCGACGGCGAGGGCGCGGGCTAGGGCGCGGGGCCGAGGCGACGGGCTAGGACGCACGGAGGGCGCTAGGCGCACGGAGGGCGCTAGGCGCACGGAGGGTGCGAGACGCACGGAGGGCTAGACGCACGGAGGGCGCGGAGGGCGCTAGGTGCACGGAGGGCTAGGAGCGACGGAGGGCGCGCAGGGCGCGGAGGGCGCTAGTCGCACGGAGGGCTAGGCTAGGAACGACCTACTCATGATACCATCTCAAGAATGGAGCACAACGGAATGAGTGGAATTAGGGTTTGCAAGGGTACAAATAGGAATCCTACAAAAGCTATACTCTCTAGGGAGTACCTCACTGCAGCCTATCATAACATTGACATTTGACACACCTTCTCATCTCATGTCACACCTGGCAGATCTAGCCAACTGATATCCATTTGGTGTACCCCCATCCGCTGGCCCACAATTTGGGCTTTTAATTGAAACCCCATTTTTGCGCCAGCTTGAAACCTGAAAAACTGAAACCCCATCCCGTGCCTCAGATACCAGTTCCGTCTTCCTTTCATAACTCACACTGCATACAGAGCCAAGGGCACGGCTCACATGACAGGGCTGTTGCATTCTGCAGCACGTGGCGCTTGACAACCGTTTCCACCACCAGCAGCCCACACTGTAGCGTTCAACAAAACAATTTCCTTCCACACACCCAACCTAAGGGTTTCAGGCCCTTTTTCTTCCACTCACCCACCAAACACCCTTGTGTTTCAAGTTTCAACCCCCATCCTATAGGCGTCCACACCATGCTCTCCCACTCACCCACACAAAGGGTTCAGCACCCTTCCCTTCAACTCACCCACCCTCCTTAGGGTGTCAACCCCTTTCTCTTTCACTCACCCAAGGTAAGGATTTCAGCTCCACTCCTTTCCACTCACCCACCCACCCTCAGGATTCCAACCCCATGGTCTTCCACTAACCCTGATTCGGGGATTCAGCACCCTTCTCTTCACAATCACCCGCCTTAGGGGTTTCAGCCCTCTTCCCACTCTCTTCCCACTCACTCACCCATCCAAGGGGTTTCAGCCCCTTTCCCAATCACTTCACTCTTACTCACCCACACAAGGTGTTCCAGTCAGCCCCATTCCCTCTCACTCACCCACCCAATGGGTTTCAGCCCCTTACCCTTTCTCTCACCCACTCAAAAGGACTCAGCCCCTTTCTTTCCCACTCATCCACCCAAGGGGTTTCAGCCCCCTACCTTCCTCTCACCACTATCACTTTCCCCCCCTCCCAGCCCCTCGCAACCTTTACCTGTCAGCAGTGGGAGCAGCAGACAGACAGCCCACTTTCTTTAAGAAACAGCAAATCAAGAGGCTGGGCCTGTGGGTCGAGGTGTGGCAGTGAAAAGGCGCTTTCGGCCCAGGACTCAAATCCCACCCCTGACGTAGCTCGAGCTGACGCGAACCAGAGCCGCCGGCCGGTCGACTCTGACGGTGTCCATTAAGCCTTGAACGCCAGATCCGTTATTTGAGCACCGAGTGCCGTGCCACGCAGATTCCACCAACCATACCCCGACCCACAAGCCACAACTCCTGAGGATGCTGCCCCTAAGGCAGTGAACTCCCCGCATGCTCCCATACTTCCCACCCACCCTCCTCCCTTCACCCCATGTATCCTTACCTCTACTTACCACAGTCATGCAGAGCGCTGTGATGTGATGCCTGAGGCTGTGGGGGAGTGGGGAAGGGGAGGATTAACAGAGCGCTGTGATGCCTGCTGCTGCCACAGCCACTGCTGCTTCTGCTTCTGCTGCTGATGGTGCTGCTGCTGCTGCTGCTTCTGCTTGTGCTGCTGATGGCGCTGTTGCTGCTGTTATGTGGCGCATGTCAGTGTGTTGTGCTCGAAGTGCAGGTGGTATTCCGACTGCAGATGAGCCACTCGAGTCATGAACGCACGCCTGCATGCCATGGGGTGTGGTGCATGGGGTGTGAGTGTAACGCAGGGGGTGTGCGGCGCATGGGGTGTGGCGCATGTCAGTGTGTTGTGTTGAGAGTGCTGGTGGAATTCCGACTGCAGTTGAGCCACTCGAGTCATGAACGCACGCCATGGGGTGAAGGTGAAAGAGGAGCGCATTCACACACAAACGAGAAACAAGAAGGGGGAAAGGGAGCAGGGGGTGGGGGGGTGTGGGTGGGAAAGCAGGGAAAGGAGAAGGTGAGAAGGGGAATAAATAACTCACCCCAGCAGCCTTCGGCGCAGCTTCAAGTGCCTCTCTTGCAGCGCTGTCACTGCCATGCAGATGACACACACACGCCATGCAGTGCAGATGACACACACATGCCATGCAGTGCAGATGACACACACATGCCATGCAATGCAGATGTCACACACATGCCATGCAATGCAGATGTCACACACACACATGCATGCAGATGAGTCACACATGCCATGCAGATGAGACATGCCTGGATGGGAGGCGACGGCGGGAAACGGGGGGTAGTAGTGGAGTGGGGATCGTGAAGGGGAGGGGAGCAGAGGAGTGAAGGGAAGAGAAGGGCAGTTTAGAGAAGAAGTAGGGGGAGCAAGAGCGAGAGGGAAGGGCAGGCGGGGAGAAAAAAGAGATAGACCACGTATAAACAGAACAGCGTCACTGGGCTGGGTTGCATCGCGAGTGGCAGCAACAGGAACAAGAATGGTTGAAGCAGTGAAACCACTGCTGAGACGCCTCCAAATACGAGAGCTAATGCAGGGAGTGCAAGCAGTGCAAGCAGTGCCATGCACCAACCCCTCCCTGCTCACTCACTCCGCATCTCCAGCTCTTCCAGCGCGCCCGCCCCCACGTCTTCCCCCTCCACCTCCACCTCCACCACGTCCTCCTCCTCATCCCCTTCCCTCTCTTCCCCTTGCTCGCCTTGCTGCATCCCCGAGTCCCACGCCTCTGCTCCCCGCCTCTTCCTCCCTCCCGCCACTCTACCATTCGGGTGAAGCGGCCCCGCACAAGCCGGCTCTTGAGGCGCCTCCACCATCCTTAGGCGCCCCCCCTTCCTGTCGTCTGCTTGCTGATGCCCCGCAAAATCCGGCTCTTGAGGCGCCTCAACCATTCTTAAGTGCTCCCCCCTCCTGTTGTCTGTTTGCTGATGCCCCTGACACACCTCCAGGGCCGCTGCATGAGAGTTCGTAGTAGTGTGCGCGGCGTTATTTGCCACCCCGTTATTAGACAGCCGGCTATTAGGTATTCCTCCCTCAGGCAGACCTCCTGTAACAGCAGCTGCCACGAACCTTCCTCGTGTTTTATGGCGCCTTCCTGACCTAAGGGCGCCGGCCCCTAATCCGTCGCCAATCCCGCCGCCGGCTGCGGCAACAGCGGCGCTGTTGACAGAATCTACTGCTCCAGACCCCGCTTTTCCCGCCGCCATCCAAGCTAAAGGCGCGTCTGGCGCTGCTCTTGCCGTCGTCATCCCCAACAATGGCGGCGTGGCGGCACCGCCGGTCCCGGCGCCGCTTACCACGGCGACATGCGCGCTTCTGGCGCCGTGCGCGCGCGCGGCGGGCGCAAGCCGCGGCTTGGATCTAGCGGGAACCGCGCGCGGACTGAGCGGCTCCTCATCGTCGAACACGACGCGCTTTAATTAGCGGCCTCGGCTGCTGCGCCTCGTGGCCTCCATCGTACTGGTTACGATCCGCTTCGCTATAAGTGTCGCAATCGCTACAGCGATTACGTATAACGGCTTGCCGTGGATTCAAGTCTCCTACCGTGTCGCAGCAACGGCAAAACGACTCGACGCGTACGCGCTCCGACGTAAGGGCGTGTCACATGTTCGGACGGTCACGGACTATTACGGTCACAGGCCTCGGCTGCTGCGCGTCGCGGCCTCCATTGTACTCGTTACTACCAGGTTGAATTTGGAATGAAAGAAGATAGCTCGAAGATAACTTACTAAAAAGAACCTGGCTCACACTTTGCTGGTCATTTGCCTCGCGTTTACCGTGGTTTGGTAGGTTCCCTCGCGTTCGGGAACGGTGCAGGAATCTGACCACTAGGAATGAGTTGATCAGGGACATTCAACCATTGCGCACCGAAGTAAACCATTCAACCAACTGGTTCTTCTGTCTCACAACACATCTAATACTCGGATCGCGTCGTCGCCATAAATGCAGCTTTCTATTATCCGTTTGAGCACCAAATATCTTCTGTTGCTCGTCACTGGGATTCGAGCTAGGTATTTCTTATTAGTCCCTCACGAATGTTTAGTGGACGCTGTTCTGCTCTATTCGATCCACGTTGGTCGACGCGCGGTCACGTCGGCATGGAGGTGAAATGCGCGAGTTTGTATGGAGCCGTATCAACCGGGGTGCATGCTTCGATGATTTTTTTCTCTTACAAAAATCCTGGTTCAGATCACATCGGCAGCTAGCGTGATTGCGAGGCGCTTCGGAAATGGTTTCGATTGCTCCAGCTGTTCCTCCGTGCGTCGCCGTGTCACGCGGACATGGTTAGCATTTCCGGAAAGCGATTGCACGCGGAAGTCACGCGAAGGCCTTATCAATCTTCGTGTCTGCAGACGATAGCATGATTATCGCAATACAAGTCCTGGAGCTACTGCTTGTCGTTCCTGAGTCAGGAAGATCATGCGCGCAGGCTACTTGACGCGGAATGAGCGGGTTGGATTTTTCAAACGCCTCATCAATGGATTTTCGCGGATTCAGGCCTTTCCGTGAAGATACTTTGAAATCTCACAGTTGTTTTTTCGGTCAGCGGATTTGCAGAGCTTTTTGCCTTCCTTGTGCCAGGCCTCCCGCTAGTCCTTCGTTTCAGCATCCCATCTGATGTTCCCTTGGGATTGCCGCAGATGATCCCTTGGGATTGCCGCAGATGTTCCCTTGGGATTGTCGCAGTCTCATCTTCCTCCTCACCTTCTCCTTGTCCGAGTAACTCCCATTAGCTGATTCGTTCAACGCTAGTGGCATGGCAACGATTGCTTTGATCGAATTGCCTGTTCCCCTTGCTTCCTCCTCGGACGACCATCATGGGAGTGCTTGGCGTACGACGGGGGAGTCGTGCTTGGAGCTGACACTCGGGTTATCACAGGTGATTTCTTAATCCTTGCAGGAAGCATCATCATTGTTCCATCGCTCAACGTTCGTTCGTTCGTTTGTTCACGTGTGTGCATAGCTGACTCACGTGTGTGCATAGCTGACTCACGTGTGTGCATAGCTGACTCACGTGTGTGCATAGCTGACTCACGTGTGTGCATAGCCGGTAGCAGCAGTGAGTGCACATTCAATCAAGAGGGTGCAAGACTTTGTCCTACCGGCTCTGGTCTATGCATGCTACCAGCGACTTTTCGATATCTTCATGCGCCTGCTCTGCATGTGAACCGGCCATGTGTGCATGACTTATGCGTGGCCGAGCCTGCATCGTGACTTTGTTCACACGTGTCTGCGCACCTCTTGTCACATGGATCACATTACAGCATCACATAATCACCATGTCACATCATCACCGCCGTCCATCCCACCCCGATGGCATGGCATGGCATGGCATGGCATGGCATGAGGATGGAGCTGGGCAAGCCTACAGATGTGAAGACTGGGGCTAAT